CGCGGGCCTGGTCCCGCGGGCAGGGCAGGCGGTCCCGGGGGCTCTGCTCCCCCCGCAGCCCCCAGAGCCCGGGGCAGCGCCCTCCCGCCCAACGCGTTTATTACAGAAGTGAAATAAATGCCTAACGTGTCGCTTTTCCCCTTGAAATGACAGCGACAGCATCTTTAAACACCTGATCTGCTTCTCCAGCACCGAGGAGCCGGGTCATCCACCCAGTGCTCTCCGGGGGTACCAGAACCTCCCGCAATCCCTTGAGATCAGATAATTCCTGCCCGCGGGGAGGCTGCCTGCTCCTGCCTCGTCTCTGCAGCTCAGATGGGTGAAAACAACTCGGCTGATATTCAGGTACAGCGTGGAAAAAGGGATCAGACAGAAAAAAAAGCCCACGAGGCAGGGACAACAGCCTGTGCTGCCTCTCACAAGGATCCATCGTTGCCACAAGGATGTGCCATCGGTGCTGGCCTCAGTGTTCCAGTCCCACAGGCTGAAGAGTTTATTTGTTAGCCAGAGCTGCACCTGTGCACGACTTGCTCTGGAGGATTTCACTGGAGACTTCATGGCACAGGAACAAACTTCACTGTGTTTTTCACACCAGTATTTATTTTGCCACTGCAGAAAACACAGGCTGTTTAAATGACAGCAAGCAACCCAGTTTGATAATCCTTTACAAATCACTATTGTGCTCAAAGACAGTCCCTTCACATCCTAAGAAGCAGCCAGTTTTCTCACTTCCAAGTTGTTTCCAATTTGTGCCACTCAGTAGTTAATAAACCTTGTTTTTGAGGTATAAAGCAGCCTCAGTGAATGTCACACACTCTAAAATATTTAACAGAATTCTCGACAATTTTGCTACAGGGATATTCTGGATTTGAAACAAACACACAAATCTCACAAAGCCCTGGGCTGCAGTGTGATGTGCCCAAGCCTAGTGCTCTGCCTCTTCAAAGCTGCCTGGCAAAGGCTCTCCTGCTCAGGCCCTGCTCTCTCCTGTGGGCCAGGAAGGTAAACCAGAGGGTGGCAGGGCAGGGGAGAGGCAGGAATCTCCTACATGACAACTTCTTGCAGTAAAAAAGCTGTTATGGCATGGATTCCTAAGGCATAATTACTTGTGCCCTGCCATGGAGCAAAGCAAATGCAGTTTTGAGCTCACTCCAGTGCCCCAAGAGCCACGTGGGGCACAGGCTCCTGGGAACAGAGCAGCAGGGAAGCACCATTCCAGGGAAAATGTCTCCAAAGAGAAGGTCTGTGGAAGTGTCTGAGGTAGCTCCCAACTTTCCTGCTCTTCAGATTGGTCAGCACTAGAAAATACAACCCTCATTATAATTAATAGTGTTTGTGGGGCCTTGGTTTTTGGTTTGTCTGGGCTTTTTAATTCAAGGGTTTTTTTGTTTGTTTTTTGTTTTTAAAAAGAAAATAAATGAAAAGTTTAAAAAGGTTGTCCTATAACATTATAATATAGGAAACAGACATGTTGCTCTGTGCAGGAGTTAACTATTTTAATTATGCTTTGCTTCACTAGTTTTAAAAGCCATGGTTGAGCAGCCCTGGAAAGCTACATGTTCCAATTCAATATCCACACTACACTGGCCAATCCAGAACAGATGGAGGACCTTTGCAAACAGGTTTTTTCTTCATTAAACTTGCACAAGGAAAAGTTCACCGTTTTAATTCAAAAAAGGAGAAAATGCTCCAGGCAGCAGCTCAGGAGGCTGCTAATCTGAGCAAATTCAATGGTTATTTTGCTTACATAAGGAATCAGGTTCTCAAATAGGAACCTGTGTCACTAAAGTAGAAATAAAAATACATCTAGTTTTGTTAATACAGATATTTTCCTCACATTTGAGCAACTTGGTCTGGTGGGAGGTGTCCCTGTCCATGCAAGGGGTTGGAACTGGAAGATTTTTAAGGTCCCTTCCAACCCAAACCATTCTGTGAGTCTGTATGTGTAATTATCAATATACATATATTTGGAAGGAGTTAAAGAAACAATTTATATAAAGTCTGTCAAAATACAAGCACACCAATCTACCTGCAAAATGCACAAGCTGGTAGACAGGCTGCACACAAACTATAAAAACTCTGTATTACAAAAGCAGTGCTGTATATACACAATAATACCACAAATTCACTCCATTGCAGCGGGAAAAAAAACAAACCACCCCCAAAACTGCTTCTTGTATCACCTTGATCACTCATTCTTGTACCAGTGGTGGACATGGAAGTGATTAATTCTATCCTGGAAAGCAGTTGCCTAAAGGTTGTAAATAGAAACACAAAGATTGTTGCTTGAGGCACAAAGTTTTGTGCATTAATGGAATTTCTTCTCTTTGAAGCTACTAAACGCTCACCTGCTGTATCTATGGGTGTTTATTTTAATCCAGATCTAACTCAAGAAGCTCTGTGTTAGAGCTGGGTTTGGAAGAGAGCTGATCCAAAGTACACTAAAGCAGAAAAAAAAGGTCTATTTTTTTTAGTTCAAGCTTTTCAGGGCCCCACTCAATTTTTCTAATTTTTTTTTCTTTCCTATAAGGGGCCCTTTCTTGGGAACACGTTGCAGGCTTAACGGTCAGGTTTTAAAGCACAGCTTCCAAGCTGCTCCATCAGTATTTGTACACTCTGTATTATGAACAGACAGGCCCCTGCTGGTTCAGCTCAGCTCAGCCCAGCCCTCCTGCCCAGGGGCTGAGGAGGCACTTGGTGCCCAGCGAGAGGCGGCCGAGCAGCCGTGCCCTGCGGGACTGCACGTGGCAACACAGCCTACAGCCCTTCTGCTCTGCTCTGTTGTGCTAATGCTTGGTGTGGAGCAGTGCTGTGGGTACTGCTCTCCTGCCTTCAAAATGCTACATCTGAAATATACACCCAGGCCATGCTTCTGCAGCAAAACCACTTCCACTACACAGGGTGTGAGTGACTCCCAGAGCCCCGGTGTGTCCAGGGAGAGACACAATTTCACTCAACATCACTGATGTGCTGGAACTCGGAATAAGACACTGGGGTTAGAAAGGAAAGCAAAGTTATCTGTCAAAATAATGTTTCTAAGCATTTTAAAAATTAGTGGAAGCATTTTATAATGGCCCTGATCCAATTCCTCTCCTTGCAGGGCCAACCAGAGCTTTCAGCTGGTTTGGGTGTTCAGGGATACCAGTCAGCTTCAGAATAAAGCACAGTTCCCATTTCCAGTGAGGGAACCAAGAGCTTTGGAGCCTAGCACAAAAAACCAGACTTGTAAGCTTCTGCAATGGCTATAAATTTTCCCCATTTTAGCTGACAAGGTTTATGATGAGAAATACACAGAAGAAAAAGGCAGCTGTTGTGAACACACTAATAATCTTACTACCAAAATGCAGCAGGCCCTGGTGCAGTGGCTAAACAAACTGCCAAGGAAGGACATGAATCTCTGACACCTGACACAGCTCCCCAGCTCCAACCCTACTTGTGAACGTGCCCCAACTCTAGGATTTGCAGTGGAAAAACAAGCCCCATAGCTTTCCTTGACTGTATTGAAATTTCTCTTTTTTCCTTTTTTTTTAGCAAACACACGAGGAAGCCTTTTCCTGTCTGGAATGTTCACACATTCACTGGTTCAAGAGTTTATCTGTACAGGATCACACAGGTCTTTTGGATAACTGAGATACATGTCTTGCACAGTCTGACAAGTATTTCCTTCTCCACATGCACGTTTCCATTCCCCTCCTGCCAGCTGCACCCTGCAGCAGATGAACAACACTCTCACCAAGCTATCAATACCATTACCACGCCAACAAGCCTGTTCTGCTCGTTGCACGTCCCTGTTTTCAGCGTTGTCCCCTCAAGCCTGACGATGATGCGCCCTCTGCAGATGCAGGGCTGTCTGCACACACAGCCACGCACCAGCTGCCAGCCCAGGCAAGCACTGCTCAAGGCTGATGAGCACCTAGCCAAGCTAAGATGATACGAGTTGCCCACAATTCTTAAATAACTAGTAACAACTATATGCTCAGTTATCAAGACAAAGGAAAAAATACTTGTCCTGTCATCGCTTTGAGTATGTTTTGCCAGTGCTTTTATTTGGTCCCCCTCTTGGGGCTGAGGCCTTGCTTCCTATAGGGGGAGATCGGGCTTTTGCTACTGAAGGACTTGGTTTCTTCACATACTGGCCACCTATTTTGCCTGTGAAGAGAAAACATGGATTGTTATTCCAAGCACTTCATGCAGTGGACAAAATAACACTGAAAAAAAATCTACAGGAGGAAAGGTTTTGGGGGTTACTGGCCAAAAGCATTTTGGTGCTGCAGGCAGTGAAAACAGCTTGTTTGTTTAACCCCTGTGTTCAGGAAATCAAAGGATTTTGCATGTGCTTCATAAATAAAGACTGTTAAAAAACCACCTGACATCAGTTTCCAGTTTCCCTTTGCGGGTGAAGAAGCTGCACAATCATAAATTCTGCCTAGCACCTGGGTCTGAATTGAAAAGGAACAGCAGTACACAGCACTAACTATTCAATTCATCTTGTAATTAGGATTAGATTAGCATCCTCTGATTGGACATTAAAAGCTAAATCAGGCTCTTGGTTCTCTGTGTCAGCGTTCAGGAGCTTTCCAGAACTTTAACTGTTTAGTACCCCCACTGATTGTCCTAGCCCCTGTCATCCCATTGCACAGGAACAACACTGAACTGATCAAATTACCAAACATGCCAGTTTTCCCAAGCAGCTGAGCTAATGCCCTCATTTTGGAATTCTTGTTATCAAATGGTTTTGAGAATTTGCTCCCTAAGAATACTGCAGCTTGTACCAGCACAGGAAGCAGCAGTTAGGTCACACAAATGCAAAGTATGTGTTGAACAAGCAATTAAAAGCCAGATTGCTTTCAAGGATAAAATAATACCCTTAAGTAAAAGCAACAGAGTAAAGCCATAATTATCATTATCATAAAATAGTATCTTACCAGGCTGCAACAGATGAGTTTTATTTAGCATGGATACCCTCCGTTGATTCATTTTACAGCCATTGTTGCCCATTAGGTGAGACCTCCAGGCCTAAAGTCAATTCAAAAGAAGTTATATTACAAAACCAGCAAAATTAGCCCATCTTTTATCTTGTCACTATGTATATACACACACTTTTTAAAACATGGGGAAAATGATAGTTGTATACAGGCTTTATGGCAAGAGCATTTTTAATCTGCTCACTCATAAAAGCATGAACACCTTATGACTTAAAAGTGGAGCAGAAATTAATATATCGATTTTAAAAATACAACTTAAACAAGTGAACTGAGAATCTGGTAGCAGTTGAGAATTAGAAAAGCTGCAAGGTGTGTAGCTGCCTACACAGGAGGAGGAACACCAACAGAGAATAGCCCGTGGCTCCCAGATATACCTCTGAGGGTAGAAGACCCAGGTTCCAACAGGGTCCCCAGAGTGTGAGACAGACACTGCAGACCCTGGCAATAACCCAGGCAAGGTCTGAAGTCACTGGGTGTAACCAGTGTTAGCAGAGGACACAAATCCAGCCCCAGGGACATAACATCAGACCAATCTGGAAGGCAGTCTTACCTCCTCTCCTGGGGAAAAGTTGTCATGGCACAAGGGGCAATGGTTTGCCACATCTTCTGGTTTAGCAGCTGAAATTATTAGAAAAATAACCTAAGAATGGCAAATACAGGCTAGTTCAAACACAAGAGGAGAACTTCCACAACAAAGACCAGAGAACTACACTAAAACCTGGCTGGCTAAACCAGCTCCTACGTTATTATCATGAACTGCTCTCAAATAAGTCCCATGTTTAACTCTCTACATCAAAACAAGATCAAATAGAACGACAGGGCTTAATCCTCAAAGATGTGGAGGAGGCTTCCTGCTCTCCTCACTCATCCTCCCCACATGCATTCATAAAAGCCAAACATTTTGAGCACTGGGAGCAACAGACATTGGTTAAAATGTTCCCTCCTGAGGATCTACCTGGATTTCTAAATCCACAGCGCAGCACCCAAAGAGAAGTGGTCTGCCTTGCCAGAATCACGCAGTATTGGAAAGTCTGACTGCCTTGACATTTGAATTTCAACCTTTTTGTTTGAGACTACTCACAATTGCAAGCCTTGCTCTTAATGTGTTTGGGCAACTCATCCTTTGGAAGGGCCTCCCTGCACCGCTGGCATTTCTCAAAGCTGTCCTTTTTATCACAGTCCATCAACAAGTGCTCTGTCAGGCTTGCTATTTCCACCATCTGCAACACAGCAAGAGGCACCCAGGAAGGTTTGAACTGTACTGAGTAAGTAAGGATAGTCTCTAAAAAACTGCTTATATGATTTTTGGAAGTTAAATCTCACTTTTCAAAATTATGAAGGGAAAATGAAATTTTAGTCCATTTATTAGTTGCATTTATAATGGTTCTCTTCTCAGAAAGCACTAACCAAGATCACACAGCTGTGTTCAGAACTCATCTACTTCAGCATTAAATACCTCATAGCACCTTAAAGCCAGAGTAGCAACAGATTGTCTTGCAGTAGCTGTAGATCTGTGCCTAACCTGCTTGCAGTGCTCACATCTGGTTAGCATAGGGCAGTGTTTCCAGTAGTGGCGATCCAGTCCTTCCCCTGTGAAGGATTCATCCCTCTCACCACAAAAAATACATAAGCTAGGAAAAAAAATACAAACATCAGTACCATCACAGACTGAAATGGATTAAGACTGTTTATTGTGTTAGAAACTACTCTGAAAAACAGCTAACATCTTGGCACACCTTATTTTTCCCATATAGTTGTTGACTTTAAGATAGGACACGTACAGATACTGTTGTATAATTTAAGGTAAATACAATTATAAAGCATTTGTTCATAGAGAAAGACAACTCTACAAAAGCACTGAGAACAGCTCTCTGAAACTGGCTTTCACAGCCCCAGAATTTTTCAGTGCTTCCTCTATGCTCTTATCCTACAACACACAGGAAAGCTGCAAGGTATCTTTGCCTTATTTTGTACTGGCATTTGAACACTAAATGGTGGTAATTTCTTATCCCACAAGATACCCAAGAACTTAAAAAAATCAAGATCTAGGACTGCCCAGTGCAATCTAATGGCATTGGTAACATTTTTCACTTAAGGTGATTGGAAGCTGCTCATTTAACTTACTTATCCAAGTAATTCTCCACACTGTAAGGATCCTCTGGAACCTCTGCTGCCGCGGGCTGTGGGCTTTCGTTTGCCCGGTAACCTGTAACAAGACAACTATTAAAACAAGGTCTCATTTTAATAGTTTCTGTGCATCCCTACAAATACTACTTCTCTGGGTCTAACAGCAACAAACCCAACAGAATGGTACCCCTGCCAGCTGGCAAACAAGCACTGAAGACAACATACCTGTAGGCAGTTGGGAAACTACTGCCTTAGTGACTACAACAGTAAAATATTTGTGATTATTTTTACACCTAGTGGATTTATGTTGGGGGGAAAGCTAAAGTGCTTTCAAGCCAAGCTATACTAATGTTCCTGTTAGAAATTAAGTGCTTAGCTGATGGCAAATTTTCTTTTGTGAGCTTAGTGGTTATCTCTCTGGCAAGGTGAGACTCACCCAGTCCAAAGCACTCAGGAATGTTTTTAACTGAGATAATTCTATAATCCATTAAGCACCTACAGTGTTTTAAAGACATACTGAAATATCTCTGCATTTCTTAATATTATTTGAAATTACCTACCTTGATTCTTTGGCTTCTGAAAATCAGATTCTTTCTCCTATTCAACAAAGAAATTGAAGTCAGAAATTCGTTTAATGACTGAGATTGTTGCCAAGGTGAAAGAGAGCAGATTATATCCTGATTTTTCTCTGGAAAGAAAAGCTGAGAAGCAGAACTAATGCATTATGTTTGTGCTTCTGGTTACAGAGCACATCTCTTGGGTATTGCGGCAGCATTCTTCTGAGGGTGGAAAAAACAGTCCTGCTTCCTGGCACTGGAGTAGCTGAACCACCTTCCTGAGGTTCAGATGTAAAAGCTAATGGATGTACAGCTCAGCTTCTGGAGGGCCTGGGCACACTCAGTACAGCTCCTGCCCTCTGGCTGGCACAGAAACCCTGAACACTTCCAGACACACTCCTACATCTACCATCTGACAAAACTGTTATGGAAAATCAAAATTTTACACTATGTTAGGAAAAACAACCCCTCACATTTTAAACTGGACTGCTGAGGATGAAATTAGTGTTTGTCATGAAGTCTCTCTCTCTCTTTTTTATTCATTTACAATGAGACAACAGTAACATTAATTATCTAAGCCTGTGATACCAGAGGAAAACAGGTTGAAAATAAAAATAATAAAGGGGGGTGGAAATCCAACCCAAAACCAACCTAACCTTTCCAACTTGAACTTCTGCTTCTATCTCCCTTAGAGCTGCCAGATGACGTTGTAGAACTTTTATTTCCTCCTTCTTCTTTTTCCCTGCTTCTTCTGTTGCTGCCTTTCTCTGTGCCTGTCAAGAAAGGCTCTTTCAGTCACAGAAGTTTTTGAACCATCTGTCACATAGAAAAGATTGCAAAACACATCAGCAGAGTGCAAATGCTCAATGCAGAACAAGCAATGTCCTGCTTAGTTAAATCATTGGTCTGTTACATTAACACCTCCCTCCCCACAAAATCCTCTGTGCTAACCTGAAAGAAACAGAGCATTTCCTCTGTTCTCACTGTTCCCAAGGTCAGGCTGCATAAAACAGTGTATACATGTTTTCCAACATGATTGTGTATGATTCCAGAAGTATCATCTCTGTATTCTTTGTAGGCTTTATTCACAAAAGTGAATACATGTAATAAACTGAACACCAGCTTTTTATACCAAGTCATGTTAACAACACACCTTAAAACACTCTGCTGCATCTCTCAATGTCTAATACAGCTGTGGAATCAGCATTCTGCTGAGCTGACTGCGATGCTTAAAGCACCCACATATGTTCTGCAATCTTGTTACTCACCCCAGTTTCAGCTTCAGAAGATTTACCATCTATTTTAGCAAACCCATCAAAGAGTGTTTTGTAGATGACAGTCCTGCGGATGCTGGCATCATCTGGAGGAAGATACCGCAGCAGATTAGCCCTGTGCTTCCTGTACAGCTCAAAGAGAATCTGCAAGGCCACATCACGGACTTCAGGAGCTCTGTGTCCCAAAGCTCCCATTGCAAACTGAAAAGAAGCATTAGAAAAAATCATTTTGCCTCTCTTTCCCCACATTTTTTGCATTAATCTCAGACAATTACTTCACTGCATTGGGAGAAACCTTCAAACTGACAGGCTTTTGCCAACACCTCTTGGCCCAGTGGTTCTTTTTTCCCATATTGGCACCTTTCTTCCTCACAAGGTTTTCTGCTGCCACCCCCACGAGGTTCAAATTCTCCATAGTAATTCACCAAGAATTCCAAAACAGAAGGACAAGCCCCAAAAAAATAGCAAGAGAAAAAAACCTGCATGTCTTGTAAACTTAAGACTCCTACCTTCGCAACGTTGCTGATGGTAAAGCCCGAGTTTCCCGTTCCCATGACTTTCAGGAGTCGTTCCACTAATTCCACCTGGCTCATTGCCAAGTGGGTTGGGGAGTTTGGTTTTAGTGGTTGAACCAAATGGACTGGAATGATCTGAAGAGGTTTAACTTCACTGCACAGTGCCATTTCCTGCAAAGATACAGAGTCAGTGTGTGTGCAGGGATGCTGAACGAGGAAAACAAACCGTCTTTGCAAAGTAGAGTTATTCTGTGTCACTTACAGTCAGTTAAGCAAAATGAAATAAGCCTTCCCTAAGAAGTAGCTGCTTATTTCTTACTTTAGCAGCCAGAATTTGCTTGCTAAAGCTTTAAAGAGAAGATTATACAGATGTTTGGTCTTGCTTTTGGTGTTAGAGCCAGCTACTGAGGAACTGATAAAGTCTTAGACATGCTCAGATGAGTTATAGAACTGGGTCATAAGAATTCCAGTAACTTCATCTTACACTGAGCCATCCGAGGAGGAGGCAGATGAGGAGTGTCACAAAGGATACAAAGTCTTGACATTGCACCAAGATGAATTCCAAGACTGCTTCAGAAGACATATGCCAGCTTATAATTTATCCTTCCATTTTGCAAAGAAACTTAAGGGCAACATTCTGCTGTTATTCAAAGCTCAACATTTATTTCTTTGCTGCTAGTAGAATGAATTAACACATTTTCACACAAAACTACAGTTCTTTCTTCCAAAATCTGCTGAAAAAGAGAGCCCTGTGATCCTCTAGGAGCTACTCACAGCTGTTCCCTGCCACCACGGGGCAAGAAATGGACTGTGTCTGTTTAAATGGGTATCTTTTTTATACTTTTGCTAAGCTGACTTTCAAAATTTGACTGTAAAAAATGCAACAGTCTGAGGAGTGTATTGTACTTTTTTACTCTCATATCTGTAGATCGTTTGCAACTAAGAAGAGTTACACCTCCTGGAATCTGCAGCAGGTCTCTCCCCACACTGTCCCCCACAACAAAGGGGACAATATGCAGGCAGAAAAAACACTACGTTGTTCAACTACTTTGCCTTCCAGGCAAACAAACCTTGGACCTGAAGTCTGATCAGATGTTACCCCCTCTAAGGGCTGTGACATTCCTAATGCAAATCAAACCCTAATTTGGATCAAAGCACCAACCTGAATAAAGTTAGAAGCCACAAGGCGAAGACGGGATGAAGAGTCTCCTGTTCTGGAAAGTAAATTTGGAAGCGTTTTTTCCACACAATGAGAAGTTTCTCCTTTGCCCAGTTCATACTTTGGAATGTATTGGGTGAGGATCATTTTTAAAAGTTTCAGGGAAGCTTGAAAAACCTAAGTTAAAAAGGAAAAGGGAAGAGTGAACAGAAATACCACACAGCCTAAGCCCCCTTGGGCTAACTGTCACTGCTCAAGTTGGAAACTGCAAGTGACTTCACTGCTGTGTTTCCAATGAAAAAACAACAGGCTCAACCACAGCACACATTTACTGCATCAGCAGCTGCTCCTCAAGCTCATTACTCAGCCCAGGGCAGTATTCTCCATGCTGCTGAATGCTAGACAGCACCCAGTCCTTGATCCTAACTAAAAGCTGACATTTCACTTGTTTGGGGCTTTTGTTGTTGTTATTTTGATGTTTTGTTTTGTTTTTTTAACTTACTCAAAAGTAGTTTTACAAACTGATTAATTATCTCAAGTGTGCTAACCACATGGCTTTACAATTTTTGCTGTCAGTTCTTTGCTAGAGCACTTCTTATCAAACAAAATAGGACTTACTGAGGACACTGTGTCTTTGATGGCTCTCTGCACCAGGAAAATGGCAGCTCTCAGTGTGTTCTTGGAAACATCCTTTGGGGTGTTTGCTGACATTTCCATCAGCTTCTTGTAAACAGCCAGTAACGCATCTTCTCGATATGACCAAGTTTTGGAATATGCCCCTGAAACCTGAACACAGAACAGGTTTATCTCTTCAAAGGTCAACGCTTGGATTTCAGTATTTAATCAACACTTACAGACAGAAACAGTCTCAAAAGAACAGATGAACTTAAGCATGAAATCCCCAGGTGTTCCCTACAGGCATCTGGCTTTTATTAAAAGCACCCATTTTTTAAAAACAGCAAGTAAAACACTCAGGCTGAAGAAACCATTTCAGGCACAGTAACGGTTTGTCTTGCTACAAAAACAGTGGCAAGATATCCTGTCGGGATATCTGAAGCTGTCTAGTGGACACTCTGCTTAATAGCTCATCATGTAATCAATCAAAAAAGCTATAACATGATGTAAACATTGAAAACAGGCACCCATGTATCCAATGTCAAATTTTCATCTAAGATTTTTAAGTGACAGTATGTAAAAATCATTGCAGTAGTTGTTTTGTTGAGAGAGCACGTTATCAAATCAACTCCAGAGAGATCACAATGATCTCTTTCTTTACCAAAGCTTCTCCAAAAACGTCAATAGCAGGGCTGGCTTCCCTCAGTGCCTTCTCAGTCAATGGCTCAGGTTCCCCAGGATTGCCACTTTGTGGGGTATCACTCATGTCCTCTTGGGTCACCTGTGGCTCGAGGTGGGCAACTGCTTCATGAGACTGTTTGCAGAGAGTTGGAAGAGGCCTCTCATCAAAAGGTAAATGTTCAACCTAACAAGAGAAGATAAAATTTTATATTCTAGAAATTACTTATATGCAATGCTGTTTCATCAGTAAAATTGGATTCATCTCAATGCATTTTTTCCCTATCAAAGCAGTATCACTTTACAATTAAGTACAGATGTTGAAGTTCCCATAATAACATAACGAAGGAATGGTATCAGTGCCTGTGATAAAACCTATTTCTTGTCTATAGAACACAATAAAACACACACAAAATGTTTTTTGGGGAACTGCACAGAAATCAGGAAAGGCCAATGCTGATTACTCAGCAACACAGCCAGTTTCAGGTGCTATACAAGCCATGAGAATAACCTCAAAAGACCTCGTTGTTCTGGAAGGTTGAACACAGGATCATCTGCTGCAACAGATTCCTGCAGTAACAGAGGAACACTACTCACATTTTCTTTGGAAAACACCACCCCAGAGCTTGTGGGATGAGCCCCAGAAGGTGGAAGGGTCTGATGGGGAACAGGGGGCTCAGGAGAAGCAGGATGTGTTGCTGGCTTCTCTGGCAGCAAAGGCTCTGCTCCCTGTGGCTCTGCCCGGCGCTCACAGGAAGGTGGGTTTGAGCCTCGTGTGTGCTGGGGGCTGCCAGTGTTTGACACAGACTGCAAGGGCAGCTCCAGGGGCTTCCGGATCTGAGAAAGGAAAGGACATTTTGTAAAGCAAGGCTGACAATGTCCCAAAATCACAGCTAATACAGCTACAGCTCCAATGCTCAACAAGGTTTTGGTGCTTTAAGTCAATATCAGACCTCACCCAGAGACATGGTATCATTTTCACTGGATGCACCTTGATGAAGCAACTGGAAAATAATTCTGTGTGGATGTATGTGTGGAGAAGATATAAAGCTTCTCATTCTAAGAACAGAAATCTGTATTTTACCAGATTAATTGTGTCTGTTCAGCCACGATGCCAGCAGAAGGCTGTTATACCCCTTCAAAATGTGAGAAAGTACTTTATCTGCACTGGGTAGCCCTGAAATGGTGCAAAACATTCAGGGTTCTAATGTCTTTTGCTTGAGACCTTACCAGTTTGATGTAATTTATGGAGAACAAAGCCTGTTCTTAAAATGCCACCTGCAAGTCTTGGTTAGGGAAACCCACAGTCCAGACAGAAAACTTAACATCCACATGCAATTGTCATAAACCACATAAAACTTATTCCCTGGGTTTGCTTTGGTTGCTCTGCCATTTCTCTCAGCAACACCCAGGTGATAAAGCCTCCTGAGCTCAGAACAGCAGCACCCACCACCAGGTCCCTGCCCAGCAGGTCGTGGAGCTCCAGCTGCTGGTACACCCGCAGCCGGTACGTCTCCATCTGCTCCTTCTTCTGCTTAGCAAGGTCATAATCCTCCTTCTCCACAGCGCAGCGCTTCTCCACCTCATACTGTCCCAGTCGTTCCCCTACCTAGAAGGTGGCACAACAAACCCTGGGTCACGTTACTGCACGTGCCCCTGTCAGTATTTCCAGACAAGTTATTAAATCAAGCCAATCTTAAAATTACTATTTTGACAATATACTGGAAATCATCATGATTTTCATCAAGGCTAGGGTCCCTGATGGACCCCTGGGACACCATAAGAGATCAAGCCCTTCACCAGCACCTTTTGCAGGTCTGCAATAGCTTGCTTGAGCTTCTTGGCGTGGTCGTAGTGCTCTCGGCGCACAGCTTCGCGCTTCTTCTCGTCCAGCCTGCGTATGATCTGAGCAACTTCTGGGTCCTGGTACATGTCAAAAGCCAAATCATCCAGAGGGGAAATGGCATCAGGTTTCCTGCAGATATGAAATGAATACAAGAAACTTACAGCTAAGCCAGAACAGACCAGGCTGAGCACACGTCTTCTCTTTTCACCGGCAGGGAATTGGAGGCTGAGAACGACCCCAGACTGAGCAGAGGTTCTGTGGGGCACACACAGAAGCACATCCTTACCCAAGGTGAGTTCCATCTAAGGCTGGATCATCTGATTTAATTCCTAAGTAGTGGTCGACCAGCTTCTCTCTGGAAGGCTTTGCAGGGGAGGAAAAAAAGAAAAAAAAGTCTTAATGCACATTCATCAACATGAAGCCTGGATTCAGGGCAGAAGCTCTGGCTTGCCACAGCCAACAGAAGCTGTGCAACTGGTCATGCTGCTGTTTTGGGGTGTATTGAAACCAGAGTGTGGAGGGGCTGAAAATGCAAATGCTCCCATCGATGATGTTTTATTTTTTGTACACACATTAGGCTCAGTTTTTGAGAGCTTTCTTGCTTCAAGTTAACGTTAAAAAGCAATAAATCAATACGTGGCAGCTCTGCTACACAGGAAAGATGGATTCCATCACCCCAGGAACCCTTTAAGTGAAGACATGCAGCACGAGGAAGAAGCCAAGGGTGCTCTGCACTCACAGTATTATTGATGTCACTACTGTAGTCTGCTGGATCCCCAATGATGTTGACAGCGACCAGGGCAACCTGGGATAGATTTAAAGAGAATGTAAATGCCCAAGGTCATCACTTTTTTCCATCCCTTATGAAAACTGAAACAAAAAAATTGGAACAACAATAACTAAAAAAGAGCTGTGGTCTGCAGGGTGGTATGGAAGCAAAAAAAAGCACTAAGTGCTAAACGTATTTCATGCTTCATTAAAAATGAAGTGCATGCACTTGGTCATGACTCTAAGTCACTTATAACCTATCATTTGTATTTTCTGTTTTAAAATAAACCAAGCCAGGAGCTTTCAAGCAATGTTTTTAGCTTCTACAATAGAGGGAGCAGATTTCAATGCAGATTCTATACTATAGAATCTTCACCTAGCTTACCAAATAAATACTCATAACTCACCTGACCATAAAGGTTGTGTTTATTGTAATGATTTTTATGGAAAATCAGCTTCAGGTACTGGCCAACTGCATCCATATACACAGATTTTAACTCTCGTGCTTTGAAATCAGTCTTTTCATTGTCTGAGAGAAGCACATAACTGTGGAGGAAAATGGAACAAGTAAGCAGGGGGAATGTACAAACACACAGCTGAGTTTTTGCTCAGGTTAGTACTTTGGTAAGTCTTGAAACTCCTTCATAACTGAATTAGTCTGTGCTGTCATCTGACAACACTTCTGGCCTTGCCTCTTACACTTATGGCTGCAGCTTTGTTACAGCCCTAGGCAGGTACAGAACCCTCTGCAGCAGTGATGCAGCATGCAAAGCATAATGCAGATTATTTCCTCCTGAGGCCCTTCTGATTAGGGAAATAAACCCACTTAGAGCTTTTTAACTTACCCTAGCCTGTGAAACCTCTCTGACTGGTAAGGAGCAGAGCATTCAGGCAAGCTTTCACTGACGTAGAACTCAATTTTGCTCGAAATCATGAACTGGTGAGCAAGCAGCTGCAGCTTTCGTATCCGACACCTCTCCACCAACTGCAGAACAATCTCCTGTGGGTACTGACAGAGCCTGGAAACACACACCATTTCTGAATAACAGCTGTTTAAAAATAATTCCATCTCCCCCTTGACTAACATTGGATTATGAAACTTTTCAAAGTTGTTACAGGCTCACTCAGCACCACCAATAGTGTAAAAAGAAGCCAAAGAGTAGAAACACTCTTCATGTCATTGCATGCACATGCATGTTGAAGTGCCCCATCCATGTCTAGAGGATGTGCTGAGGAGACTGGATTTCTAATACTAAGCCAAAGCAGTTGCAAACCTTAAGACTGACAAGAACCAAAACAGTTTCCTTTTTTCTTTCAAAGGCTGTTATTTAAATGCAATGTCCAGGTGGTGACTAAGGCACTTTCCCCCCTCTGCATAATGGGGAAACTGTTTTGGTTTTATAACTGGTTTGGTCTGGGATGCTGTGAGCTCCTCTTAACATGCCTGGGACATCTTCTACTCATCTTAACTCAGTGCTTCAGAGCTCTGCAGCTTCCTCCCCCTGGCAGTACCTGGGTGATCGCCATCCGTTCACCGTTGGTGCATGATCCATCAGCTCCTTGGCACTGAAGCCATCTTCATGTCCCGAGGAACTAACAACTATGAACCTGACCTTGTGTGGCATCCTGCAGCAACCAGCTACTCACAGCTACGATGCTTCAAGATAACCCCTAGAAGGACAGGAAAACAACACTGAAACACTGCCACCAAAATTTAAATCCTGTGGTCCATCTAGTCAGTAGATGGCGACTACAAAGCTGAATTCAATTAACATTGGCACCATATTCTTATGCTGAGCATTTTACCAGTACTTAGTGCAGTAAAGGTTTGGGTCACGTGCATAGCAATTTGCTCAATTAAACATGCTAATTAAGAGATGGAACTTGAAACTATTGAGTTCCAAAACATGCACTGAAGCAACCTAAAGCAGCCGCTGTGCACTTGAGCAGAAGGAAAAAGGCAAACAATAACAATAAAGAAGAACAGGGTGAATTCAGCCCGAAGCCAGCCAAGCACTGCTTGGCAT